TCCCTTTGTTATACTTTCTTAAAAAGGGCTCTGTGTGTGTGTGTGTGCGTGTGTGTGTGTGTGTGTGTGTGTGTGTGTGTGTGTGTGTGTGTGCGCGCGCGCGCGTCTTCAGATGGCTTTTCTTTAGATTCGATAGGCAGAATTAAAATTGTACAATCCAGTTTCTTGGATCAAGTCAAGAAACAGTAAATCAGGAGAATTTCCCTGTAACTTGCTCTTCCAAAGTTACAAATTTGTGGAATACCATAGCTTCTAACTGGGTAAGTTGTAACTGGATGTGCTTGTGTCCTCGAGGGAATGTTTGCTGCTGCTTAGAGGGAATAGGTATGAGAAGCAGGATTGGAAGGTTTTACTCTTCATTTTCTCAGATTCAGTGAATGATCTTCAAGTCAATAGGAGAAAATTGAGACTGTTACAGGAGTTTAGTACTACCTGTTTTACCTGTGTGTTGAGGCTTAATATCTGTAATGGGACTTATATGGCACTTCTCACCCAACTGTCTCAAGTAACTTACTGTTTTTTATATTTTAGTATGACTTTAAATTTGGCTGGAGGTGCAGATGAAATAACATCTGGGGATAAGTGTGAGGTAGGACTGGACCCAACAGAAACATTTCTCCACTTTTAAAGCTGTGCAAGTTCTAGAAGGCCAAATTCTAGCTCTGGTAGACTGGCACTTCTCAAAGGGGTTGGTTTTCTACAGAAGCTAAATGTCTTCCTTTTTCAAAGTAACTTCATTTTTCATTCGTTAATTCCTGTTTCATAAAAAAAAACAGGAAGTTACAGAACGCTAATTTGACATTGTGTGGTATCATAACCTACAAAATCTAAACAATACTGAATTAATCTTCCTGTAGCAACAGTGATAAATGTTGACCTTGCCAAACATAAGGTTGCATTACTTTGTGTAATATGTTTACAGAATGTGAGACATTGAGAGACACTGTAACAGTGAATGCATTTAAGGGCTTACATTGTGGGAACCTTAATGAAATTCTGAAATATGTGGGTTTTGTGGCTGAGATTTCTGCCAAATGTCATAGTAACATAGTTGTTTGCATTACTGTGATAATTTGTCCCTGCTTTTTATTATTTACAAATTTTAAACTTGTATTTGCTGACACCACATGCTTTATGTTTAACAAAGCATATATTCTAACTTCTCTACATGAATATAGTTATATGTTCAAACATTAAAATATGTAGCTTTTAGTCTTGTATCAAGATCTTCTTTCCCGTTTATAATACATGGAGACTTCAAATGCTTTTAAAAGCCAGCTTCCCCCAGCACCATCTCTGTGGGAGGTAGGGGAGGTAGAGGCACAGTGGGAAACAGCGTGAGCGGGGACTGACGCAGTCTCTACTTGCACAGGTTCTGCTGCAATTCTACTTCTGAAATGTAGAAGAGCCCCTCTGGGGCTCTTCTACATTTCAAGGCTCAGGTGCCAACAGGGAGTCACGGGGCTTCTGCTTTTGAACTGTAGCTAGAGCCTGGAAAGGCTCTTGCTACAGCTGAAAGATGGAGGTGCCCTTATCGACTAATAAATAGTCGATGAAAATCCCATCGACTTATTGATTAGTTGTTCTAAATTTAAAATCCCTAATTACAATATCCTCCAGTCTGTACCAAACAATAATTTCTTTCATTTGGAATAAACTGTTTGTGTATATTATAGTAGCAAAAAAAGCTTCACCTATATAAATATTCTCCCAACCACAATATCAATGCATACTGCCAGCAAAGCATGCAGTGAAAGACTACAGATTGAGTAATATAAAGTGTTAAGCAAGACAACTCTTATACAGATGATACAGTTGTCTGTTATACAGACAACTCTTTATATAATCAATCAGAAAAGTAGTATGACTGAAACTTTGCTCAGACATTTGAAAATTTTGGGGTTCGGGTTTGGTATTCAGAGTTAAATTTGTGAGTTTAACTTTAATCCAATCAGTGATGCCTAGGTGTAGAAAGAATCTCTAGACATTGAGCCTTCATCATGTCTTGTTTGTCACAGTGGCGGTAGGGGAAGGTTGGGGAGGCCATCATCCCCTTTGCAAAAGTCATAATTGTAGTTAAAAATTAAAACAAAATACGGTGGTGTATGTTTATAGGTATTAGGAATGTTAAATTTGGATGAATTAAATAAATAGTCGATGGGATTTCCATTGACTATTCAATTAGTCTATAAGGGTGCTTCTGCCTTTGAACTGTAACAAGAGCCCTACTTAGGGCTCTTGTACATTTCAAAGGCTGAGGTGCCGCAGCTGGCCCCATGCTCTGCTCTGTGCAGCCTTTGAAATCGATAAGAGCCCCAGTGGGGATCTTGTATATTTCAAAAGGAAGCCTCGCAGGGAGCATGGGACAAGCGGGGACCCCTTCCGCTTCACAGGCTCCCTGCTGCGCCTTAGCCTTTGAAATGTACAAGAGCCTTGGGGCTCTTGTACATTTCAAAAGTAGAATCGCAGCAGTGCGGCACAAGCGGAGACGGCTTCAGTCCCTGCTTGTGCTGTTTCTGCTGTCTCTACCTCTCCTGACACCCCCACCCCACCCCCTCCCCAGCGGAGACGGTGTTCAGGGAAACTGGCTTTTAAGGGGTGGAGAGTGACTAGTTGCATCACTAGTCGACTAATCTCTTACATCCCTAATAGGTACTATGGTGATGGGTGACCGTATAAAATCCTTAGATTTTTCACATGAAATGGCTTATGAGAAATAATTCAGATAGACCTAATTGACAGTAAAATGTACAAACTGTTTAAGATGTGAATTCATGTAACATACTTATCTGTACTGAATAAATCCAATGCACGTTTGATTAAAAGAAATCATGACCGTGTCTTAGTAAAAGGATGAACAGAGTATGATTTTTTTTTTTCCAAATTGTTTCTGGCATGAGTCATGGTTGAAACAATAAAGAAAAGAGACTTAGTATAGTTTAGAATTACAGATGCAGGTTAAACCATCAACATTTAAACTTGGATGTTCTTACAGAGCGGCTTTTGTAAAACAATTAGGCCTTTCGTTAACTAGTGCAACTTCCGTGTGTAGACAGCTCTAATTTGTAAAAGGTTATCTGGAATTCTGTGCTATGACGTTAGAAATCTAGTCTTCCAGGTCTTTTATTCCAATAAT